ACATAACTTCTTCTGTTAAATATGTATTGCGAAACTCCCGCCTTTTCTCTGAAGTTTTAGAAGATATTTGAGTGTAAGAATCAACAATATATGTGCGTATGTAAACACTAGTGTTTGCATCAGTATTGTTACGTAAAACTGAAATTTCGAGAAATTTTTCGAACACCTATAAATATAACCAACGCGACGCATCGAAAAATAATATCCATAATTAGGTTGCTATAATTGGTGTGCTATAAACTTCGTAAGCTATAACTGTGATTAACGCTTGTTAATCGGAAACTTTAGATATATTGACCAGGAACGTTTATAAATTTCGAACATTACAAACCATTTAACTTCAGTGGATTCACATCGGACATTAGTACTTTTACGAAAACATTACCTAACGTCGTCGGTGGAAACTCGACCTGTAATCGGCGTGTGATCAGATAGAACTACAGGGCTAGCTAGCTCCCTATTAAGTGAATTATACCTACGTCAACTCGAAATTAACTCGCTCATCGTCATCCCTCGATAAGATATCAAGGAAGTTCCAGACTAGAAAGAAGACTTTTTATTGCTTATACTTTTGTGAAACTTTTGTATATAAATCCTTGTTCGTAATAACTATTTGTAATAACTGAATAGAGTTGTTTCAACAACTCTATTCAATTATGTACCAGCTGCCTAGTGTCGGCTTACAATACGAAGAATTAAATTGTGGCGAAATGCTACAAGTTCTTCAAATACCTATATAATGATAGTTTTTTTTTGTGAGTGTAAAACACTTAAATACACCATTTCGATATTTGTATTAACTGGTATTGTTGTTTGTATATTAAACCATATTTGTATTAAAAAAGAAAACTGTGTGTATCAATCTTGTTGGGAAATATCATAAATTGGAGATATATCGGCAAATATTTAACTACTAAATCTAAATTACAATTTAACTCAGTTTTAAGCTATTAAAAATTGTCATACGTAACATTATCTACAACAGATATGGGAGGAGTATAGGTTTAAGTTTATATACAACAGGCATGAGAGGAGGATAGAATTAAGTGTATTTATAACAGATATGAGAGGAGCGTAATTTTAACTTTATATAAAACAGATATGAGAGGAGCGTAATTTTAACTTTATATACAACAGATATGAGAGGAGCGTAATTTTAACTTTATATACAACAGATATGAGAGGAGCGTATGTTTATGTTCAAACACGTTTTTCTTTCATGATCTAGTGTGATGGTCAGGATTTCACACCGAAGTTAAAAGAACTCCGTATCCACGCTATTTTGTTTCTCAACGTTCCCAGGTTAGTAAACGGCGTAGTGTTTGTAAAATGGTAATATGCATGAGGTGGAAGCATGTCTTATTAAACAAAACGAGGTAGTGTGTTGTCTGTTGGTCAGTCAGTAGACACTAAAATGACGTTACATATAGGACGCTTAACGTTGCAATTTGTACTTTCGTGACATCAGTAAAACGAGCGCGTGCCATAAATCACGAGAAGAATTATGCACTCTGTAGGCTACACAGCACAGCATGACATATGAACTTCAAAGGCAAGAAATGCATCTAGTTTGATAACGAATGTATTCCTTTTGAACAATACAACAGTTGTTTCATTCTTGTATTAAACCTGACGAAAGGCAACTGTTTGGAACGTCGTTGTTAAATAAAATATGTTGTTTTTTTTTTGTCTTTCCTGGACGCATGTAAACAGCGCGATCTTTATAAATCTAAACAGCGTTATGTATATCGGTAGTACATTAATTATGCTAATAAAATGTATTGTAATGCTCAAGTTTATATTGTATAGTCAAACGTCTATCACATGCTCGATTCATACGTTAGGATAATTGTTAATGAGGATAACTTGTCTTTAAATGTTTAAGTGATATATCTTTCAACAGTTATGAAACCTTGTCTCCAAAGAAATTTCTTGATCTTTAAGCGATAAGTAATATATATATAAATTTTATTAATATTCAGCCCATATGTCCTCAAAATCCGATTTTAAACATACTACTAGTACTAGATTGGTTAAATGTTTGCCTATGTCAGTTTATTCTCATTACCCACTTTCAGAGCTTAAGTACTTATTCAGCTTCACTAATACATTATTATTCAAATATTAGAACTAGTTGATAAAGCTGACTGTTTATATAAACAGAGTTTTATAAAATCAAAACTTAACATATTATACATTCATCTCACGCTAGAGGCCGCTAGTTTTGTTTTCTGTCAAGTTATTAAATTTGATAAAAAAACAACAACATATAACGTGATTTTCTTTTAGTATAACACTTGTCTTCAAAATTAAATATCTTAAAATAAAAATAATATGATACTTATGAATAATAATTTTTTTATTTACACTTTGTATGGTTTCAATTCTTAATCAATTCCTATTATAGAAATAATTGAACAAAACTTCGTCATACACGAAGACACGTATAGACACTTCGATAAATTAAAACTGTTACTTTTTCTCGGAAGTTATGGCGGAGGAACTAGGCCTTGGTTACGTCCTGCAGCAGGTTTTGAACTTCAGAGGACGGATGATGGCTTGATAGAAGTGTTAGGTCTCACTACATATCAGCTGGTAAGTGTTGTGACATTAAACAGTTGAAAAGTGCATTTACGTTATACGAATTAATACATTTTATTTTACAAGCATCGTACCATCTGACATTTTATCATGTTACCATATGATGTTATTAGGAACGTAGGTTTCTAATTTAACTTATTTTTGAATCTTTATTACTGAATACTTCACTCACTCAAAATGTCACTAATTTGCAAGTAAAAATTTATTTATTTTTATTAACAAGTAAATTCTCCTCCAGTTTTTCAAACAATTTTTATATTTTTCTGGAATTTAACTTGTGATGATTTTTAAGCCTTAAGCCCCACCCCTAAAAATGTGTAAAATTATTAAAAATGACAAAACAGAAAACCATTTAGAGGCTATACTGGATAACTATCCAGGATTATCAGCTTAAAATGAGAATTTTGAATTATTTGTTTAAAAAGTCAAACTTTTTCATTTTCCTCCTACATTTATAATACGTATGTTTTACTACTGACAGCCGCTACTCCAAGCAAGAGGTCACGGTACCTGCATTGCTCAGTGTCGGCATGCCCGTGTTATCACTACCCGTACAATTCCTATGCAAGTAGACGGGGAACCCTGCAAGCTACTACCCTCTATAATTGAGCTTCGACTCCGGAATACAGCCAACATGATTGCCAAGTCTAAGGTGTGATATACCTTTCATCGTTCAAATGATAGATGCTGTTTCAGTATAAAATTATGTATAGTAAAACACGTGTAAGATCGACTCCGGAATACAGCCAACATGATTGCCAAGTCTAAGGTGTGATATACCTTTCATCGTTCAAATGATAGATGATGTTTCAGTATAAAATTATGTATAGTAAAACACGTGTAAGATTATATAGGTCTTGTAAAAATTACTTGCTCGGGAATGTATTGGGTGTAGTATTTTTCAAAGTAGCAAGACGACGGATTTAGATTGTTTGGCTTAAGGTTAAGCACAAAGCTACATAATGGGCTATCTGTGCTCTGCCCACCACGGGTATCGCAACCCGGTTTCCAGTGTTGTAAGTCCGCAGACATACCGCTGTGCCACTGGGAGGCACCGATTTAGATCTAGTTTCAAAAAACGTGGTTTCGAAAACGTAGATCAGTCACAATTTAAGAAACCCCTGAATCCGATAGTTTTCGAAATATAGAATTAATTTTATTTTTCGAGGGTGAAATGGGGGTCTGAAAGCGCTATCAGATTTTTTTAATTTTGATTACTTCAGGTCATAGCGTGGTCACATCGCCATCGGGCTCACACATGAAGATGCTTCACATGTGTAAGCGTTAGCAATTACAGTTTTAAAATTTTAATGTAAATCTCACCAGTTACGAACAACACAAAAAAGTCAAACGTCATATTTTTAATAATCCTGAATTTTGACGCTTCTTTTCGTAGTTAATTTGATGAATGGAAATAGCTAACATGTTCATCTATAGTCTATGTAGTTTGTTGAATGATTCTTGCTCTCTGAAAGATATGCTTGCCTAGCTGATATACTTTGTAGACTTATGAATATCATAGGCCCCCCTCAAGATGGTTTAATCTTATTAGGTATTTTCCCCGTCTGGAGGGGTCACCTATTCTAACCACTCGCACCACGATACAGTAGTGTATTGTCTGTCTGTCAGTCAGTCAGTCAGTCAGTAGACACTAAAATGACGTCACATAAGGGACGCTTAACTTTGCATTTTGTACTGTCGTGACATCAGTAAAACTTGCGCATGTATTGAATCACGACAAAAATTATGCACTCTGTAGGCTACAACACAGCATGACATATAAACTTCAAAAGAAACAAATAAAAATATTTGTTACTCTTAATTTCGGTTTTATTTACTCGTGAAACAAAACACTTTCGGGGACGGTGCGAATTACATCTGGTATTAGAAATAAAACTAAAATATTGTTAATTCGGTTATAGTGTTTGTTTGTAGTTTAAACACAAAGCTACACAGTGGGCTATCTGTGCTCTGCCCACCACGGGTATCGAAACCCAATTTCTAGCGTAATAGTCCTTGGATATTATAAAAGTACCTTCATTCACAAGTATAAAAATTTTGTATATTTGATATTTTTACTGGGCAAAATACCTTATTTATGTCCAGAAGCTCTAGATAAAAATATGTCTACCTGTCTATCAGTGTCTGGGCTTTTACCTGTCTATGAAAACCTGTATGTGTACCCAGGGTCAGATTAATAAACAGACTATAGATTAACCTCCCCCCCCCCCCCCAATCCATATCCAAAGACTCGACAACAACTTTTCTGTTAGTCGGTGACGATAATTTCTGTTCTAAAGTCATAGTTTCCATTTTATGATCCTTTCATGAATAAGTAGGTCGGACGCGCAGTCATCATGCTTATGAAGTCTAGCTGAATTTTTAAGAAAGCTCATTTAGCTAATTTTAGGAAATAATTCATCAGTAAGTGACTACTAGCTGTTATATTTTGTTAAAACATAAAATTGTTCTTTTACAATATATATATATTGTATATGAATAAGCAATGTGTGTTGTTGAGGTAGTGTTTTATTTGTCTAATTCATATGTACTTATCAAAACCTGTATATGTACCTGTCTGTCAGTATCTGTGTATGTACCTGTTTGTCAGTACCTGTGTATGTACCTGTCTGTCAAATTCTGTATAAAAGACAAATATAGTTAAAACTGCATAGGCGACGAAAATATCAAAGTTAATTAAGTGTATGAGATGACGAAGAAACGTCAACCTTCTTTAAATAAAAATATATAAAAACTTGGCGATTGTTCAACCTATTATCAAAATCTGTTTATTTACCTCTCTATCAAAATCCCTATATGTACCTGTCTATCAAAATCAGTATATGTACCTGTCTATCAAAACCTGTGTATGTACCTGTCTATCAAAATCCGTATATGTACCTGTCTATCAAAACCTGTGTATGTACTTGTCTAACAAAATCCGTATATGTACCTGTCTATCAAAACTTGTGTATGTACCTGTCTATCAAAATCCCTATATGTACGTGTCTATCAAAACTTGTGTATTTACATGTTTATCAAAACCTCTGTATATATCTGTCTATCAAAATCGATATATTTGCCTTTCTATCGAAACCTGTGTATGTACCTGTCTGTCCAAACTTGTATATGTACATGTTTTTGAATATTTGTGCATTTATCTGTCTGTCAGTTTCTATGTATGCACCTGTCTGTCTATATTTGTATATGTACGTGTTTTAAATATTTCTATATCTATTTGTCTATTAAGTTCTGTTTATCATTATTTGTTTATCTATCTGTATGTTAGTACTAATAACCTATCAATATTTCAACATTTATCGATCTATGGTTTCTTGGTAAGAATCACCTAGTGAAGGTAAAGCTTATAATAATGATTTCCCTTCCATTCTATAGTAATGTGATATTTCTATCCTAAGTGTTTACTACGCATCTCTAATGAAGAATGTTTTACACTCAAGTTCAAAAAAATCCTAAAATCGACTGTTCTGATACATTAAGATAAAATAATTAGTATCATATTTCAAAGTACCCTACTGACAATTTAAAGTCGCTTTTCGTATTTCATAAACATATATTTTCTTTATTTTTAGCGGCGCGATGATGGTCAGAACATGTAAGTAATTCCTTCTCTGTTCACTAGTTAGTCACTTGTCCATCTTTCATCAAGTTCTCTGTTCGCTTATTAACTCAATTTTTTTACGGTATGTTTATAACAAATTTTTGCTTGGTTTTTAAATGGAGTACGTTTATATAGCAATTTAATTTTCGAATATTTATCCCCTTGTTAAATATTGCTTTCTTAAAATAGACCTGGCAAAAGATCTCGGATCGAATAGTGTTGTTGTTTTCGTGAACGGTGCATTTGTCAGTCACTGAAAACTGATTTAATTACAGGCCAGCGTTAGAAAAGCTAACAACTGAAGTTAGAAAGCTCAACCTTGAAGAATACGAGTCCTATCACTACGTCAAAGAACAACTGAAGGAAGCATGTAAGTTTGTCTTTTGGGTTAGATGTGCGATTCTATGTTTTGGTAATAATGTAAAAAAGATACTTATTTTACTTGTTAATTTTATTGGGTAAAGATATTAAAACTGACTTAGGACAATGTTTGGAAAAGTTACCGCTTGCTCTGAATCAAGGTGGCAAACTTTGGAAAGTCAAAACGTCATCGCTTTTAACACAGTAAGAAATTGGAGCTCGTACAATGTCAGTTTTTACAAACAACAATTTTCACGGAGAAAATTCTGTGTCTCTTTTTCACAACCAAAACGTACTTTTTTTTATAACTTTATTTAAGTTTGTTTCTTACATGAGAGACAGGGGGCCTATTTAAAGAGAAAATCGTGTAAAATGATCTTTCCTTATTTAACAGTCTTTAATATTTTAGATCATGCTTTTCGTAGACAATATCTATCTTTAACAAATTCAGTGTTATTTTATGCAGGAAAAAGAAGTCTCTTTGTAAAAACAGTACAATTTCAGTGTACCTGTTATTATACATAGAGAAGCATAAGTATTATCGAGTTTGAAGATTACTTATGGGTACAGACCGTACAGTACGTTCTAAAAAAAAAAAAAAGATATAAGTGCCCCTCCCCCGTGAGTGATAGAAACTACCATCACCAGGTAGCAGTACATTTTTGTCGTTTCAGTGTCACTACTGCCTGTTTGGCACAATAACAAAGCAATAATGTCAACATATTTGGCACGAAACGTTTTGTAGAAACTGTTAAGCCCTCCAATGGCTCAGCGGTAAGTTTGTCGTCTTATAACACTAATCACCAGATTTCGATGTCCAGGCCCCCCAGTGGTACAGCTGTATGTCTGCGGACTTACAACACTAGAAACCGGGTGTCGATACCCGTGGTGGGCAGAACACAGCTAGCCCATTGTGTAGCTTTGTGCTTAACTACAAAGAACCAACTCTCTCTCTTTTTTTTTTTGTACTGAAATTTTTAACCACCAAAGCAAACTTTTACCAAATATAATGCTTTTAAAATACTACAATTTCCAACTTAAATATTGTATATCTAGAATGCTATTAAAACAGAAAGTGCACTGTAGGTCCATTGACACTTTGGGCTCATAGACAACTGCCCACTCTAGTTTTTGGTTAATCCGGTTCTGACTAAGTCTGAAGGCGATGTCATTCTCTTAATCTTGTTTTCATAGTTCTGTTCAGAATTACAACATTCTCTTAGGCCAGATGTGTTTAATTTCTTTCAGATAGTCTATCACTTTAGGTGTATGGGCGTTGCTTGAAAACAGAAAACAAAACTCAATAAATAAGTTGTGTTTTATTACATCCTTGTCTGCAGGAACTCTAGTGTTAGCTTTAGCCTAGGAAAAGATTTATGGACGTACGTAGAAACCCCCGCTCTTTGGCTAATAGAGGGAAAAAAAAACTGTAGTTGGAAGTGACATTATCATCTTCTTTACTTTCAGATGGAGACAGTTGCCAAGCAACACACTGACACACGAGTCTTGAGGAGCAACCCGAGGACTTTCTAAGAATTGTTTTAGTGAAGATCAGGTTTACGTACCAAGCTGAAGTCGGATCAAATTAGGCTTGACAGACTAAAACTTGTGTCAAAAGGGATCGATCTTGCCTGAAGCAAGTCTAGTATTTTTAGGAGTTATCTCTCATCTGACTTAGACCTTTCAAACTGTGTTATACGATTACTGTACTTCCTAAAGTTATATCATATTAGATTAACATATACAACGACATTTTATGTTGCTATGGCGATAAAGTGATGAAGCTGTGTTATTTTATACTAGGCAAAGTCTTTTAATAATTGAATATTGTCATATTAATGCCTTAATGGAATAGTTGATATACTGTACAGTGAGGAAAACTCCTTTGTGAAGTATACCATATCGACCTGTTATAATAAAATTGAAGCTGCTTGGTTCTGCACTGTGAGGATATCATTTTTCTCAACATAACCCATCTTACATTGTGGTTCAAAAGGGCTGAACTGTGTTGCAATAAGAGTGGCGAAATTAATCAAGTTTACAGAATGGACAAACTCGGATAGTTTCGGTTCTGCTCGTTCTGTCAGTATGATGGCCGTGATTATTTCAAGAGATTATAATGGACACAGAACCTGGTACAAAAATGCTTCAGGACTACCGTGGTTAGTTATTTGGACGACGGTATGGGCACTAGTGGTCACAATGACCCCAGAATCAAGCAACATTGTCCCACCCGGTAAGTCTATTTTGTGTTGTTAAACACCCATAAACGTACATTATGTGGTGTAGTACTTTTTGTTTTTTCTATCTCTCTGTCAACAGTACACCTTTCCCTTGACTGTTGCCAATATATTCTGTTTCTCTTCATGGTAGTTTATTAGATATTTATTTATTCAGCTTAGAATTTTTGTGTATAACAATACTTTCGTTTGTATATAATATAGAACCAATAAACGTAATGGTAGTAAAGGCGCTCGACTCGCAATCTGGGGTGTCGCGGGTTCGAAACCCTTCATCGAACATGCTCGCTCTTTCAGCTGTAAGGGCGTTATAATGTGAATGCCAATCCCACTATTCGTTGGTAAAAAAAAAAGAGTAGGCGGTGGGTGGTGTTGACAAGCTGCGTTCCCTCTAGTCTGTTACTTCTAAATTATGAACGGGTAACGCAGATAGCCCTCGAGTATCTTTGCGCTAAATTCAACACAATAAACCTTGCGTAACCTGAAAACCTGTTGGTTACATTTAACTCGTGGTTGGAGTGTGGGTGTGCTCACGTTTCACTCCAACACCTTTGATTAAATTGTTAAAATATTTTAGTAAGTATCTTACAACAGTAAATAAATGCTGCGATCAAACACCTTAAACATACAAAACTTATAACAATTAACGATATAAATGTAAAAAGACAAACAAATTTCCTCCAATTCTCGACAACTCGATTTTCCTTTGTCGTCTCTGACGAAGAAATAAGGTTATGGTTTGGACGTTGCGAAAAATTGGTTTGAATTTCGCACAAAGCTACACGAGGGCTATCTGCGCTAGCCGTCCCTAATTTAGCAGTGAAAAACTATAGGGGAGGCAGCTAGTCATCATCACCCACCGCTAACACTTGGGCTACTCTTTTACCAACGAATAGTGGGATTGACCGTCACATTATAATGCCCACACGGCTGAAATGGCGAGCATGTTTGTTGGGATGGGGGTTCGAACCCGCAACCCTCAGATTGCGAGTCAAGCGCCCTAACCACCTGAGCATGCCGGGCAAATTAGACAAAAGAGAGAGAGAGAGAAATAAAAATATTAATCCACAGAAATGACACAATAATTTAATAAACTGATGATGAAACATATTGTTGGTGTGAACGTGCTTTATAGTCACTATGAGGAAAACATATACACTGGTCCAGCTTATCACTCTTTGGTTAACTTTGGTTGTGTTCAGGGTTACTGACGAGGAGTGCAACTCTCCGATATTAGTACAACCCAATAACACACGTTGATCAAAGTGTAGATTGAACTGGATTTCCGTTTGATATTAAACACTTTTCAGAATACTAAGTATATTTATTAAACTGATGATGTTCAGCCCGTTGTGAATATTAAATCCAAACAAATGCAATTGTTCTCCAGCAAGATTTTAAAAACAAAGTTAATGACGAGTAAACAGATTTTTGAAACTAAAACCATTAACGCTAACGTTTTTAACGTTACAAACGGACTATTGTATTTGTATATGATCCGTGTTTGTTTTTAACTTTAATCGTTTCAATGGAGGGAAGTCGAGGTTAAATCCAAAGATCGATACTAATTGTAGTAGGTAAGATACTTTGTAAGTATTCAGACTACTTCGTGAAAGTCATTAATAATTATGTCAGGAACAATTATTTTTAATTAATCAGTTATCTGGTATATGATGGTAAGGACCGGTAGCGCGTGTGAAACATCGACGATCAGATTGGTAGTTTGTTACTCTCCACGTTACGCCCCCTAATGTATGTCTGTTTTTGAAAGGAAACGTTGACAAAGGTCGTAGGTGTGCTGTATACGTAGCGTAGTCTGTAAGAAAAGAAGACGTTGGAGGGTCATGACTCATTAACTCTGTATGTGCTGTTCCGACGAAAAACAGATTTTCCAAACGTATAAATAAAAAACGATTTTCAACGCGCTCGGGGTTTTTAGACACGGTAATAATTTATTCAGTGAGTTCAGTCTTATTTCAATGAAAATACATTGTCGACTTGACAAAAAACACGAAAGATAATTTAACACAGCTTGTTGTGACGATAGATTATTTACTGTTGTAGAGGCAAACTTTCATTGTTTGACAACATAGTTATTTTATTTTGCACCCCCCCCCCCCGTGGCTCAGCGGCAAGTCTGAGAATTTATAATGCTAAAAACTGAATTTATATGCCCGTGGTGGGCACAACACAGGTAGCCCATGGTGTAGATCTGTACTTAAGTACAAACAAACACATTATTTTTATTTCATAATTCTCAAAATGGCCGACTAAATCGTCAGATTTCAATTATTTGTTTTAGCCTAAACTTTCTGTCTACTCAGCTTCTGTCATTTTCTCTTATGTTATTTTTAAATGGATTATTTTCTTACGTCACTGTTGATTTTGTGTTACTTGTCCGTTCGACTTTCAGCTAGAAATCTATTCAGTTCCTGCCACTTTTACGTTATTTTAAACAGATTATTCGCCATCGTGTTGTTTCTATAATCACGATAATCTTTTCAGCGGATCCTGAAATTTAAAAAAAAGAATAAAATAACAGGAACTTTTCTTTTTGATATGATTATAAGCCCAGAAAACGTGAAGATCTGTTATTCAAGCACGCTAATAAAAACTAGAATAAAACACATAGTCACGAGAGGTTCTCAAATAATACGGATTGTAGTTCAAAGATATATGTATGTATGTGTATTGTAAGTCAGGATTAGCCGGGAATATGTTGGTATGTACATGTACATATCACAATTTATCTCTGTATTTGTACCATTTATTGTATAGGAATTACACGCTTTTCTATTACATAAACTTTGCTTTAACTGCTTAACCAAATCTGTTAACACGCTATTGTTGTACAATACAAATGACCACGTGGGTTGACTATGCACATCATTTTCCTTGGATTAGAGTAGCTTTTCAGAAGAAGGCGTTTAAAATTGGGTTTAGTTTCGGAAAATGACGGTAGTTTATCTTCCAATGAAGAAATAAGATTAGAAAATACATACATTAAAAGTTGATGGTAATGATACGCAGCCTGTGACTTAAGTCACTGGTGAATGACTTAATATAATGTAAAGGTAATGCTCACTTTGTACAGTTCCCTAGTGATTTAACGGTCAGTGGGCTTATAATGCTAGAAGTCGAGTTTTGATACCCACAGTGAGAAGAGTACAAATAGCACATTGTGTAGCTTTGTGCTTTACAACGACAAAACCTCTAGTATAGTGAAAACTAAACATAAGAGAAGCATAATATAGAATAAAAGCTTGACTGAAGTAGAGACAGACCAAGGAAGTTTTTAGTTTGCTTTAAAGTCTTTGTTGTATCTGTTACGTTTACAAAAATGCAAACATTTACGTTTTTTATTTACCACGTAAATGAAATAATCAGTATTTTTCTTCATTTAACCACAAGGTTAATTTTAAGTTCTTTTAAAGCGCCCATCATCCAGTGAATAAATACTAGGCTTAGCACCCGTCATCAATGAATAAATACTAGGCTTAGCACCCGTCATCAATGAATAAATACTAGGCTTAGCGCCCATCATCAATGAATAAATACTAGGCTTAGCACCCGTCATCAATGAATAAATACTAGGCTTAGCGCCCATCATCAATGAATAAATACTAGGCTTAGCTGAATAGCAAAGGGAACAACTAATTGTTTCGAAAAGAGGGCAGTGCAGTGTTGAAAGGCTGATTAGGTACATAAGAAGTGTTACCAAATCAAATTAACCCAACATATTCCTTTTGCATTCAATAAACCTGATGTTTCGTGTAGAGAAAGCAGCGTTATTTGTACATAACTGCCAAGTCTTCTTGCCAGCTTATTCGCACCCTTTTCGTGGACTGCCTTATATGCTTTGCAATTTTATGGTATGAATATAATATGCTTCTTAAAGCGATCTTATGACTCAGCTTTGGTCATTAATTAAAGGATATATTTAAATAATGTCCCTATTATCTCTCCGTTCCCGTGAGTCTGATTCTAGATGTTTATCTTACGTAGTCAC